GGGTAGTTGGTGTTGGTGTATCAGAAGACTGGTCAGTAGATCCACGGGTAGTTGGTATTGTTGTACCAGAAGTAGTTGCCTCATTATTGTTGTTCTTGCAGATGTATTTTTCAAATGAAAAGTCTGGTGTACATTTGGTTCCAGCCTGACATGGATTTGATGAACATGGGTTCTATAAGACAAGAATTCATCTTAACACGTAAATATCTACTATTTTATTTAAGTATGGCTCATATAGGCGAGAATCTGGGCGAGAAAAAGGCTTTTGGTTAAAATTGTTAATGCAAATTGACTCCTACCAGAATCCTTTGCACATTTTTTTTTTCAGTTAATTCAAACGTCCTATGCCCCAAATTGGTAAAGATGCGACAAAATTCGATTGGATTGGATTCCTTCGAAGCTTCGTTGTTTAGCTGAGTTTAGCTGTGGAAAATAATACACCTCTTTAGATTGTATTATAGTTTCCCCATGTCCGACGACGTGCTATTCTCTTGAGTGTCATTTCTCTGTTTGGATGTTTCAATTCCGAGCAAGAGGCTTGGAGCGAGTTTTGAATTTCAAATAAATTTATAGCAAAACAATTGTTTTTTTAAAAAGCACCTCAATATGAATAAATCTGCGACATCTGCGATATTGCTGGTTTTAACCATTCCCAAGAGAATTGAATAACAAAAGACACGGCGGCCATGTTGGATTGTATAACACACGAGACTAATGACGAATCTTTCGTTATATTCATCCAACATGGCGGCTGTGAAAACCATCAATGATGTTTACCTTAACTGGGCAATATTTGCCTCCTGGAATTGGAACAAGATCACTGGGTTCTCCAATGTGATCTGTGTTGCTCAGTTCACAGGTCATCACACTTCCATTTGGCTTGAGGTTGATCGAAACGCAAGAGTCATCCATCCAACATCTCACTTTGCACATGCTTTCAGGTTCCGAGTCTTCAAAAGAGCTTGTGACGTGACCTGTGAATGTCATGTTCTCCATGCATGAAAGGAACGTCAAAGTTCGACATCCGATGGCTGTGAACGGTAAAACAATTTATTAACAGCTCACAGCCATTTTCATGATCACGTCATCAACACAGCCTAATAGTCCCCTTCACAGTTCCCTGCGCCATTTTGAAAGGTAGCCGTGCCTTTGCATCGAAGTGAGACGAACGGTGAGCTTGCAACGATAGAGACCTTTTTTAACACCTTGGACAATTATTCACAGGTCCCTATCGTTGCAAGCTCACCGTTTGTCTCGCTTCGATTAAAAGGCACGGCTACCTTTCAAGATGGCGCAGGGAACTGTGTAGGGGACTTTAAAAAAAATGAACAACAACAACACAAAACAAGCTCCTATCGTAAGAAATTTCATTGACGGAAGCCGGAGAAAAATTTCATTTCGAATAGAGGTTTTTCACCATCACGTGCCCACGCCCAAAATACAGCTTGGGCTGCCTGTAGTTAGATGGCACGGCCCGGTCGTACGAAGCCTGGATAGCGCTATCCGCTGGATAAATAATTACCCAGTGGATAAGTCGATGCTGTTATCCAATAAATTTATCCACTGGATAAGATTTATCTGTTGAATAGCGCTATCCAGGCTTCGTACAACCGGGCCCAGAACAAAAAAATCCCTTTGCTCTTGGGAATTCTTGCTCGCGTAAAACGATTGTATTGTTCCTGCCATCTAACGTGGCTGATGTCACGTGATGGTACAAAGCCTCTATTGCACGTAGGAAGGACCCCCTTCGGGTTCAATGGTTCTTGGTCTCGGCACCACATGGATAAGAGTTTGTTAGGTTTCTGCCGTACATCGAGGCTAGTTTTTCTCCGGGTTTCTCCACGTATTTTCTTCGCTCTACAAAACCGTGCCTAACCAGCTGAATTGCAATTCGATCTGTGAATCAACCGTGGTCGAATTCGATCCGCCAAGAAGTTCTTCAGGGTTCGATAAAATTTGAGGTTTGGAAGAGTAATATTGAATACTTTGGCGATTTCACCCGTAGCAAAATGTTTCTAATTTAATCCGTTGCGTATTATACCGAATCGAAATATGGCGAACATTTTAGGTATAGCTATATTTCTTGACTGACTAGCCTCGTGTCAAGGTGACTGCCTACTTTTGAACGTTCGATTCAGTTGAGCCCGCGATGTGCGCGCGCTCAAAAACCGCTGAAAAATCTACAAGATTTTATTGAAGAACCATTGAATACGCGTTTTGAGCTTCACCAGGGCAAAACCCTCAAATTTTGCACGGGACTTAGCTTATTCGAAAAAAACTCCTAAAAATCTAGGTCATAACAGCATTTTAGAAAAAGTTAATTTTTCTAACACACGAATAAATAGATTTTTGTAGGGATTTTTTAAGAGCACTAAAACTACAAAATCAGATATGACAAATCAATGTATCTCTTTGTCTTTGTGTCGAAAATATCCATGTATTATTGTAGAATGATTGACTAGCCGTCATTTGTGCAATCATATCTGCAAATAACTATTATCTTATGAATCTTAATTTTTTCTGATCACTTTCAGTGGCGCAATTTTTGCTCCAAAAGCTCGTGCGTAGGCTTCCATTAAATGCTGATTATCTCAAAAACAAGCTCGGGACACCCAATTTTTCTTTCCAGATCTGGAATCAGCATTAAATTTCAATTTCAAAGAGACTACAATTGTTCTTCTCCATGGAATATTTCTATATGGTTTGGTACCTCGTCACGTGAGGGAAAACATTCTATTCTCTACTTTCACATCCCCATAATACTTTGCGTCTTTGGGGGGTAACCAGAGGATAAAAACCCACTTATTTTGCTGAAGGCTGATCAAACAATGTTGACAACCCTTGTTTGGTATCCAAAAACAAAATGAAGAAGTAAAAAACAGAAAAAGATAGAAGCTTGAAGACGTTTAACGTAAATTTTAAACATTTTTTCGTAAGTCAATACATTTTCTGTAAGACCAAAACTCTTTATGATCTGTACACGCAAAAATAACTTGGAATAAACTGATAATCAGTATTGTCGGTACAGATAAAAGCAGGTATAGTATAAATTCAATTAAGAAACCTTTCAATTTGGGACAGTTTTTTGATTGGTTATCCCCAAAAGACTCGAGGCATTATGGGGATGTGAAAGTATAGAATATTTTTAGTCACTCACTTGAATTACATTTTGAAATCTAGATCTTTTGAACACTTAGAATGATAAAGTTTCAAATAAGAGTACGCTTTTAATACATCACAGTTTCAAAGTAAGATAATATTTGAGCATGAGTTTTTTAAATTTCAAATTTGATTTCTCGGTCCGTCTCAATCTCGTACCCAGAGCCTGCGTCTTCTGGCCTGCGACAAAGTACGAGAGCTCTGACATAATCCATTTTTGGCGCATGCGCAATTTTTCGGAATTGAAATGTAATCAATGAAAATCATGCTTTCAAACAGAATTCTGTGTTTATGTTATGGGATGGACCGCTCTCGGTACGAGCTACGGGATCTTTATTCTACTATCTCTTCTTCTGTTCTTCTTCTTCTGACAAACTAATTACATGAGCTCTATTTATAATACCTTCATGACAGGTGTCATTCTACAATCAATATGATATTATCGCTGTGTCTTGATTGGCTAATGGAAATAGTAAATTCCTAAGTGTGATATCTTATAAAGAGTAATACGAGTGAAAATCATAGAACTAAACATAGCTTAAACTAAAGATAATTTATAAGTATATGGTAAATGTGTAGAAAGGTCTACGAGGGATATATATATCATAAGATTTAAAAGAACAGTGCTAAAATAACTAAGCAAAGGAGTAAAGAGTGTTTAGGGTGTAACCAGAGGTGTACATGCTATTGGGAGGAGCTAAGTGGTTTACTTGTAAATTCAAAGCATACCATCATCTAAACTTGTGCGTGATGTAGCCTTACTGAAATCTTATATCGATATTTTTAATAACTAATTGATCGTTCTTTATCTTGTTTTCATACGACAAGAAATAGTAATTAGAAAACTGATGTCTAGCTTAGTCTATAAAAACATTAATTTTCTCTCCCATAACATTTACTTCCGATCAAAATAAAAATTAGAAAGTAGCGGGAAAAACTGTTTTATTTTTGGGAATTCTTTGAAAGCATGCGCTCTCATACCGGAAGTTCAAGAAATCCTGGTCTCAACAATGGATTATGCTAGAACTTTCATTCTTCGCCGCAGGCCAGTTACGAGGTTGAATATGACTGCGAAGGGGTTAAACAGGTGCTAGTTTTTATCCCTCGCCCCCAACCGTGACTTCTTTTGTAACTCGTTTCTGTAAGCAACCTTTGTTGATCTTTCGAATTGGAAAGCTCTGAAGACCAAATACAGTGAATACAGTGGAGAAGTTAAACAGGTGCTATCTTTGATCTCTCCCCCCTCTCACTTATAATTCGTATTTTTAAGCAACATTTGTTCAACTTTCGACTTGGAAAGCTCTGAATTGAGCAAATCTAGTGAATGTTAGCTCGAGTCATCGTGGTCATGATATTATAACGAGAGTCTTTTAGAAGCCAAAACCAGGCTAAACCAACATGTTTTACCTATTGTAGTCAATACATCTCTTTTTGTAGAAACACAAAATACTTTTCTTTACTTTGTATAGAGAATTTCATCTCAAGTCATCGCGGTAAATTATAGTTTAACGAAAAAAATTAAACGAAACATTTTTTTTTGCATAGAATATTTTTTATGTGTTACAGAATATAGATTTTTTACTTTTTGAAATTAATTTAAATCAGTTATAATAAACTGAATTAAACTAATACGCCATACAGGTTTACTACGAAATGTTCAATCAGATATATATATATATATATGTAAAGCCGCAGCGATTCTGACCGTGCTAACAGAATTTTAGCCAGATTTTTTTTTGGTCAAATTTTTTGCTCTGAAAGACGAAAAAGAAGAGCTGAATGACTTATATCAAATGGGTTTTTGAGTTGCCCAAGTTATGTTAACTATTTACGAAAGAATTTACATCTATAAGTTTTCAAGAATTAATATTTCAGTTTTGCTAAGAAATTAAAACCGTATTTCTTTAAATAAGTTAGTATCAGATATTTTGAGTTCTTAAGCTAAAAACCGATAAATTTACTAACCTTTCGTTACAGCCGTAACTTTGAAAAGAACAAATAAAATCCTCAAAATATCCATCTTAGTCTTACGATAAAATTTTGCAGTGCCCTTGAATCAGTGGTTACTGAACATTTGAAGTAATAATTTTTTTAAATGTTTTGACGTACTTTTGCTATTCATTTTCCCTTATCTAAGATTTCTACCAATGACAGCCGAATCAATTTACAAACTATTATTATTTTTTAATTTTTAATTATAGTTAAATTTAAAGATTATTAACAACACTTGAATAGAAATATCAAACTGAAAAACTCAAGTTACGAACTATAATTTATGTTATATATGTATAGATTGAAGAAATATGATTATTTAAAAAAGCATATAAAAATATCATTAGTATTTACCTGGTTTTCATAAACCCGTGAATTACACACTTCTAGCCTAATACAAATTAGTAGACCCTAATTCCATTGTGTTATTTTGTCATTTCACTATTTCGCACTAACTTATAATATTTATTTATTCATTCATTCACTCACTCACTCACTCACTCACTCATCCATCCATCCATCCATCCATCCATCCATCCATCCATCCATCCATCCATCCATCCATCCATCCATCCATCCATCCATTAATTAGTAGAAAAAAGTTGCAAAAAGGGTTTATGAAAGTTATCTCTCTAATGATGGATTTAAATTCCCATAACAAAGACTTTTGCACCTTGCCTGCTGGCAGACTCTTCTTTTAATATTTTTCCCGAGCGATAGAAATTGAGAGCTCTGCCAAATCGATGAATTTAGAAATTTTGAATAGCACGAAGTAAAACTCCCAAAGATATTGGAGATTAAGATAAGAGAGTTTATAAATTTGTATTGTTAAATCTGGCTCATTTTCATTTCTTGTTGAAACGTCAATTTTCTTCGATATATTAGTACAGTATTTTTGATATGATGAAACAAGTTGCAATAGATTCTTAGATTATAAATCATGATTTTGATATTGCAGGATAGCCATTTTAATTTCATTGTAATTTCACGTTGACGAAAAAAAATGGATTATTTCTTGTTATTATGTTTGGACGAAATTTAATGCTGTAAGAGCTTAAAGTGTATATCAAGGGAAAAATTTTTTTTTCAAAATCACTTATATGTGAACAGTGTAATAGCATGGTTGCAGTATTTTTGTATGT